CAGGAGCAGACCACAGCTGTGCAGCGCCATCCCCAGCACCACCCTGATCTCCCCCTTGGTGGAAAGGCTGGGCAACATTCTTGCTGAGCCAGCCCCAGGTCCTGTCCCTTGGACAGCAGCAGGCAAAGCAGTTTCAGAGGGTATTGGGGGCACACAGCCCTCAGGGCCCATGCTAGTGGCACGGGTGAATTCCTTGAAGCCGCTGGACGTTTCTTGCAGCTGCAGAACAAATTCAATAACAATACTATGAGCAATGCCTTTTTAATAGGCACGAGGTGAAAAGAACCCAGCAAGTCAATATTTGTGGATGAAAACAAAATAAGCCAAGCTGTTAGCACAGAGGAATGTAAGGGAGGCTGGGAGGCAGCTGGGGTAATTATTATTTCATCTGCCAGATAGCCATGGTCCTGCCCAGTGCCTCCTTCCCCCCCTGCCTGTGCTGCCTGCGCCAGAGAGAGGGCAGGGGAGAGGTGGAGATGGGGCAGAAAAGAGCAAATGTTTTGGCTGCGGCAGCATCAGGCGTGTGGCTGGGGCTGGCTCAGCGCTCTGTCCGCCGGAGGGTGAGCGCTGCCCTGGCCCAAGTATTTAATGTCAGCAGCTGGAATGTGCTTAACACAACATTTTACAAGGGAACATTAGTCAAGCACCCGCTCTGACAGAGTGGGTCAGCGATAAGGAGTCGGCACATGGGAGCTGCAGGGAGACGGCTCTTATTTCAGGCAAAGGAGGGAAAGGCTTGCAGAGACGGTGCTGGGGCAGGCTGAGGGGGACAAAATGGGCCAGGCAGCCCCACTTTTGGTCTAGCTGTCCTGACAAGCATCACACAGGGGTGATAGTGCCATACTGACAGCGGGTTCCAGCTTCCCGAGCTCCCCTAGCTATTGCACGTGCTGCCTGAGAGTCCTCCTCCAAACACCCTGCAAGGTGGGATTTGGGGAAACCTGTCCAAAAGCCATTCCCTGCCACATGCCCTTGTTTGCAGGAGTACCGGTGTTTGGCTGTCCACGGGTATTAGGTACAGGTGGGAGCTTTTTAGTAACACAGCTCAGGCTTTGCTCCCTTGCAGCAGGATCTCTCGAGACAGCCATTTCCACCTGAGCCAGAACGATCAGGCCACAGCAAGGAGTGTCCATCCCTAAACAGCAGGAGGAAGATGTGCCACAGCCTAAAAATCTCCCAGAAATCGGGTCGGTGAAACATCAGTCAGCTTTGCCTGCAACCTGAAAGCGGCACTACCCTCCATCTATTCCTAGAGCTATCCCTGTTCATTAGCCTTCTTGGCCCCCAGGCTTAAAAACATCCCACAGTGTCATGACTCCTTAATAAGATGTCATCTTCAGCCATGACAAACATGAGCACTCAGTAAATAATAGCCCTGCCATGTAATGTCATGCCTCTCCCATCTGTTGTAGTAACGACTGTGCTTCGCTCACCTGCCACCCTCTCCCGGCTGCTCCACGCGGGCAGCAGCCAAGCTAAGCCAGTGCTTTCCCGGCTGCAGCAGCGGCTCAGCCGCCCAGCCCCTCCAACAGCTGCTGGGCTTGTTTTTGGGGCGGGCAGGGCAGCCAGCCCTTCTGCAGGGGAGGAAATGTGTTTGGACACAGGTGGTGGTGCGCAATCCAGCACGGGAGAGGGGGAGCACGGCCCTCCGGCACCCGGCCACCCTGGGAGCTGCAGAGGGGCTTCCTCATCTTCTTCCCTCTTTCCTCCTTATCCTCGCCTTTTTTCTCTTTTTATCTTTCTCTTTTTCTTTTTCTTACTAACTTGCTCCTTCTGTCTCTCTATTTCCTTTCCTTTCCTTTCCTTCCCTTTCCTTCCCCTTTCCCTCTATTTCCCTATTTCTATTTCCTTTCCTCACTGCCATGGTCCCGTGTCCCTGTGCTTGGTGCCTGCAGGCCTGTTTGAGCACAGTCTCTCTGCTTTTGCTGTAAACCCATTTCCCAAAAGCTTTCCAAGCATTGCCTAAGGGACAGAACAAAGCTGAAGGATTTTGAAAAGCTCACCTCAGCAGTTTTGGAACAGAGTTCCCCTTCTCCCCCCACCCTCTCCCACTAGAGAGCATTAACACCTTTGTGCCTCAGTTTACCCATCTGCATATCTGGATTAATGACCCAGAGCAAACCTGTTACTATGGGGTGGGTTTTTCACACTGGTTGGCTGTGGGCATTTAACTCTGCTCCCCAAAAATCCACCTCCTCTCTGAGCCATGAAGAGGAGACACCACTACAGAGCAGCTATTGCTCATCACTGCTTAAGTAGCTCCTGTTTCCCTTCTCCCCACCCCATGCCCATTACCACCCCTTAGTGCAGCCCTTGCAGGGCTGGAGAGGCAGAGGCATCAGGTTGGAGTTGCAGAGCAGGAGTTAACTGTTGGTAGCAATTAAAAAAATAACTTTGAAAAAAATGTTTTTAAAAAAATGGCATGGATCAATCAAAGCTGTTTCGGAAGGGGGGGGTTCAAGTGTGTAATGTCCTCAGTCTGAAGTGAAGGTGGAGACAGACACTGCCTTTACAAGATGCCTTTTTTGCCCCCTCCCTTTCCTGTGAAACTTGGGTTACTGAGTGCGTAAAGGATAGCAGGACGTGGCAGTGTTGTTTGCCATGAAAACTAATAGGGCCATGCCTGCTTTCATCAGGAGTGTAATCAAAGCCACGCACAATGTTTTAAAAGGCACAGCAGCTTCAAGTGCAAGCAGGGATTTATTAGTGAAAACGAAACCACACTCGAGCCTTTGCAAGTCTTTAAGAGTCTGAAGGAGAAAGGAGTGGGCTGGCTGGCTGGGCGGCTGGGGGGACAAGGAGGCCAGAGATCTGCTATCGAGCAGCAGTGATGAGCAGCGGTGCCGAGGGCTCATGACACTGCTGGGCTGCCGTTCTTGCTCTGCCACAGGTTGTCTGAACAACCTTGGTCATGTCACCGTGCTTCAGCTCTTAGCCTGCACAGGGGGACAAAAATCACTCCCCTACAGCTCTATAGAGAGATTATACTTCTGTATAAACAAGGATTATGCACCAGGGACACTTCCAGCCTCTGCAGTCACTCTGGGGCCCCGGCAGGACCCAAGGGGGTGGCCAAGGAGTCCCACAGGATCCTACAGGTTCAGAGAGCAGCTCTGGGACCTTGTCTCGCTCTGGCACCACCACGTGACAGCACAGCCATGCACGGCGGGCGGGGACAGGAGGAGAAAGGGAAAAAATGTCCCAGCAGGTGGTCATAGCGAGCAAATGGATGCCCAGACTCCTAGGGTCTCTGGTTCTGCTACAGACCCAAAGTCCTTCCCATATTTGAGGTCCCTGGTTTCTGCTGTCTTGAAACAGAGGCAGAGCAGTGGCCCAGTGCCACTGCTGGAAGGCTGAATTCCCAGTTTTGACTGGCTCTCCTGATGCTACTAGGCTGGGGGAGGCAGCAAACACAGTCAGCTCCTTTGGGTTCAGGAGAGACCTGACTATGACCTAAAAGAGCATTTGAAGGCTGCATTTGGTGCTAGGAGGAGAGGATACCATGCTCCTGAGAGCATGACACATGTTTAGGGTCTGTTTCTCCATCCCGAGGACAGTGTGGCTGGTCAGCAGGGGTGAGCTGTGCAGAAAAGATAGTCCTGCGTCTATTTATCTCCTTTTGAAAGAGGGGAAAACCTGTGAAGTAAGCAGTTCTGTTTGGAAAAAGCCTGTTGGAGAGGCTTTCTTGGCCTCAGGTGCCCTTGCCATCTGCACACATAAGAAACCCTTCATAAGGTTCTCATTTCCTCTTTACCTTTTTTATATAGCCCATAATAAGATCCCTAATTTTAATGGACTGTATGGATCTCACTAGCAGGGAACGGCTCCAGCAGAAAGGCTTTAACCCTCTGTTTCAACAGGATCAGCAATGGAGCTTTTGGTCCCTTGCTCAACTCCACTGCAGGTGCTGGATTTCTGCAGCCACCTCCAGCAAAGCCCTCCCTACCATGCATGCTTGGGCGAGGGTGCCCCATGTAGTGTTTGTGGGAACTTGCCCCTCCCCCTCAAATGTTTATGAAGCAGTACAAGAAAAATTAGCGGTACTTTGCCAAATTGGAAGATGTGGAGGGAGCTGGGCTCGTTTGGCCAGAGCAGAAGGCTAACAGGTGATTATAGAGAAAACAGAGCCACACTCTTCCTGGAGGTGCATGGGAGGCAACGGACACAAGGCACAGCAAGGGAAATTCTACCTAGATATTAGGAAAATAATTCCTAGTGAGACTAGTGACAAGAGAGTTAGAAAAGCATGTGGAAGGGTGACTTCTCTGGGCCAATCCTCTAGAGAAAAAAAGAGCCTAAAGATATGACACCAGGGGGGTGCAAGTGGTCTCAGCAGGGCACTATGCCAGATCTGGATCTGTGTTAAAACCCACTTAATGGCTTGGGTGAGAGGCCGGGGAGAGCATAACCCAGTCCAAAAAGAGTTACGGTGTCCCTTGCTTGGGGCACAGCTCAACTTGGATGTCGGCAGCTTGGCTGGGATCTCGGCTGGGGAAGGCAGCACACAGGAGCTGATGGAGCCGTTACACCAGATGGGGGAAGGCAGAGCCAGGCGGCAAGGATGCACAGAGCACATGTCAGAGGATCTGGGCTGGTTCCTGACAGCTCCTTTCTCCCAGAGCTCCTGGACAGGAGACAAAACGTGATTTCTTGCTCCTTCTACTCAAAGGCGGCTGTGAAAGTCTGATTTATGCTGAACACTCTGGAAAAGAAAAAAGCTTGGCTGTGGAACCAAGTTCAGCTCCCAGCCAGGAAAACCTTGTATGGGATCAACAAGTTTTAACCATGCAAATCAAATTTGGGTCCAAACAGAGCCCTGTTTCATGACTTCTGCCTCTCCCTTCCTCGCTGCACAGGGCCAGGCTACCTCCTCCCTGAACAAGCCCTCACATCCATTCCCAGTGGCGGAGACAAGCTGGGATGTTGTAGACAACTTCTTTTCCTTCTTTTTTCTTTTCTCTTTTCTTTTCTTTTCTTCTATTTTCTTTTTTTTTCTTTTCTTTTCTTCTCTTTTCTTCTCCTTTCTTTTCTTCTCTTTTCTTCTCTTTTCCCTTCTCTTCTCTTTTCCAAGGCGCAGCCAAATATGTCACAGCTCCATCTTTCACTGAGATGAGTCCCAGCTGCCAAAATGTACTGGAAGAGGTCTGCTCGCCTGTGAGCCTGAATCTATGTGACCTCGGGCAGCACGGAGGAGTGCTCAGGGCACTGGGGAGAAGGAATTGCTTGGCTCAGTCACCAGCAATGAAGGTGGGCAGGTGATCTTTTTTTATCCGTGCCTTTGTTTCCGCAGGTGGATGCAGCAGACCAAAGGTCACTTTATGTCCTTTTTCCCCAGGCCCACCATCACCTGGATGACCCTGGAAATGAGTTGTGGGAGCAATCTTTGGACATTGCTTGGGGTGTCCCCAGTCATAGCAATAGCAAATCCTCACCCTGTCCTTATACAGGTGAGACAAATTCAACAGCAGTACTGATACACCATGAAGAGGTGAGACCTCCCATCCAGGCCTGCTCACATGGGGAGAGTCCAAGGGGCTTGGGAGGCCCAGAGCCTGCTGTCTAAGCTGGGACTGTCTCTGAAGCTTGTGCCCAACAATCTGGCTTACAAGGCAGGTACAACAGGGCCTGAATAGGTCCCTGATGCACATAGACGTCCACCCAAGGTGCACAGTGATAGAAGGAGAGGCAGTGAACACAAGTTGCAAGAGGGAAAGCTTTGATTAGATATTAGGGGAAAAATTCACCCTGAGGATGGTTAAACACAGGGGACCAGAGAGGTGGGGGAATCTCCATCCTTGGAGACATTCAAAACTTGGCTGGACAGAGCCCTGGGCAACCTGATCTAAGTTGGCTCTGCTTTGAGGGTTGTTGGACCAGAGACCTTCAGAGGTTCCTTCCAGCCTAAATTATCCTGTGACCTACATCCACAGCACTACCCAAGATGCTCCTGCATCATCAAGAGTTAAATAAGCCCATCTGGGCTTCTGCTTCTATATCAGCAGGATCCTAATTCTCCCTTCTGATTTAATCCCTTAATTCATTTGCCATAATCCTGTAGTATGTGGCTGGAGGAAAAGGAAGCAACACAGCAAAGCAAGCAGAGAAATGCAACCAGTGCCCCTGAGAATAGTGTATTACTCCTCTTCTTTCCTGTTTGCCTTCCTGCCGTTCTGCTTCCATGAAAATTTGTGGGATTTCATCCAAAGCTCCAGTATCTCCTCTCCAGCAGTGGCTGGGGATGGATGCCTAGAAAGAAAATATCAGAAACAGTGAGCACAGAGCAATGCTTTCCCCACTGCACCCTGCCAACCTCTAGCAGCCGAAGCTTCAAGGACATATGAAGCTAAAGGTCACGTCCGAACTCAAGCTCTTAGTAGTTACCAACTGAGAAGCTGCCAGCAGAGTGAGAGCCACAGCAGAGTGAGTTTTACGAGGTGCTATAACGTATTTCTTCTTCTTCATGTGAAACAGATTGCCCGGTCCTTTCACCGGGCACCTGCCTGTGCCCTATCCCCGTGGTCCCAGCCCCAGCTTTTGGGATGGAAACTGGAAAGGGACCAGCATTACATGTAGATCTGCTTATTGCTGTGAGCACTGCGACTGACCCACAGACGCAGAGCCTGAGCGTTTCATCCCTAGTCTCCCTTTCCTCTTCTTGCCTGTGCCCCTGATCCCACAGTGATCTCGGGAATTCATTAATAAAAGCTGTCTCAGAGGTAAAACACAAGCCCCCTTTCCCTTGACAGGCAGCGGTGGGATGCTTCTCAGCAGCACTGTGACTCAGCCCCAGCCATTGTTCGCCCGGAGAAGTGCCGTGCGCCTTTGCGGTGTGCGTTCAGGTTGAAGAGCCCTTTGTAGACAATTTATCCACCGAGCCAGAACGGGAGCGTTTCACACTTTGCTGTTCCGTTGTGCTGCCAAGGGAGAGCTCCCCGCATGCACACACACACATACACACCTGCACACACATGCGGACACACACCTGCGCACACGCACATGTACACACCCGCACACACCTGCACGCACGTGCACGCACACACCTGCACACATGCACCTACACACACCTGCACACACATATACACACCTGCACACACACACCTGCACGCACATGAACATACACACCTGCGCACACACACCTGTGCACACCCATGCACATACACACACCTGTGCACACACGCACACACACACCTGCACACATACATGCACGCACACCTGCACACACATATACACACATGCACGTACACACCTGCACACACACACCTGTGCACACCCATGCGCATACGCATACACACACCTGCACACACACAGGCACATACACACAAGTGTATGCACAGAGCAGAGCCTGAAGTAGGAATGACTGGAGCAAGCAACCTGCTGCTGTTTTAGAACACTGCACCCCGTGCTGGCAAGGGTTCCTCCCTGGGTGTGCCGAGTACCCTGACCCTGGCTCAGTGTGCTGGGAGGCAGGACGTGAGCGCTGGGCACATACGGTGCTCACAGGCAATGCCAGGCAGCCAGCCCTGCCAGCTCACACAATCATGGGGAAGGAATGATGAGGGATGCTCCAGTCAAGGACATGGCCCAACCCCATGTGCGTACCCGCAGTTCAGTCGCAGTCGTGTGTGCCGACAAGGCGAGGGGAGCTTTATGCCAGACCTTTTCTCCTTCCTTGACCTCCTTGCTTTCCATAGCCCCCGCACTTCTGCTTCCTCCCGCGCAGCACCAAGGCTTTGATGCTGCCTCAGCAAAGGTCATCCGAAACACAGTTATCTGAAGAGCTGGATGTGTGTGTCCATACCTCCTGTTTCTTCAGAGGTGTGAGTGAGCTGAAGTGCAGCTTTATGGAGGAAAATAAACTACATGCATACTCACCACTATTGCCCACTAATGAACCACACGGTGACGGTAGGAATCCCTCTCCGTGGCATTTCTGGGTACTTGAAATTCACACAGAATGCAGCGGCTTCGAGAGAAGAGCAAGAGGATGCCTCTCCTGCCCCTGTGCTGACACGCAGGGCTGGCTTAGAAAAGATGTCGGTGGAGTTTGGAAAAGAAGCAGAAATATGTATTTCCCCAATAATCTCAAAACTTCAATAAATGTTTTCCCTCAGTAGGACGTAGCTGAGGAATCTGGGGACCATTTCTGGAGCCAGACTCTCTGAGAGGAGAAAGCGAAAAGCCAGTCCAAGTGCAACAACTTCCAGGACAATAAAGGGATCTGAAGGGGTTCAAGGGTAGGAGGGGGTTTTTTGTCTCTTCGGTGTTGTTTCTTGATTAATAATTTCATGTCAGAACCAGCAAAGCACACCTCCAGATCATGCACAGGATCTTTTTCTCCTTACTTGGGCAACAGAACATATAGGCAGGACAATTGTGCAAACAAAGATGCATGCCAAGCCCAGCACACCGAAGGAAAGAAATAAAAATACCGGTTATTTAAAACACGTGTATTAACAGAGGGGTTCACCTCTCCCCTGCCTTTGTGCTCTGCTGACATCGCGGAGGCAGATGAAAAGCCTCGCTGGAGCATCAGGCTGGCCCCAGCCCCCAGGGGATGGGGGGGCTTTGCTCCACTGGCCCCTGGCCTCCCTGGGCCACCCATTGGCACCCGCACCATCACCCATCATCACCCACACTGTCACACGCACCTCTCTGTCCCAGCAAGGTCCTGGGGAGCAGGACACAGGTGCAGGAGGAGCTGGCTGAAATTCCCACCCCTTCCCTGCCAGGGAGAAGTACAGCTTTGATTTAAGTTGGGGGGCAAGGCAAGGTGGGTGCAGTGTCACGATACCTGATGTGGGAATGCTTCTCGCATGGCTGAGCCTCATCTGCACATGGTTTGCAGCATCTCCCAGGTCCAGTGACGGATGACAGGCACCAAGGGACAGAATCCAGACAAATCA